GCCAGCCACCACCACCTATGGCAGGTGGCGCTCCCGTGGCCCACGCCAGCATCGCTACCTTGCCCTTCCCTCAACCATTCCCCACCCCGATCGCCAGCCACCACCACCTGTGGCAGGTGGCGCTTCCGTGGCCCACGCCAGCATTGCTACCTTGCCCTTCCCTCAACCGTTCCCCACCGTCATGGAGCCGCTGCCCACGGCCATCCCTCTAACCCCGATGATAATCATTTTTTTCAGCGGACCTGTACCACCATTCACGCCTCTAAGATAGATAATAAGGTCGCCTATTTTCCTAAAATAGATTGAAAGGGTTTTCTTATGAGCTCCTTCCTTTCCTTCGGTTGTTCCTTACAAGACAAGGTTAAAATGCTTGTCAGAAATCAAGTGTACTTTCCCCGCAAAAAAAAGAAGAAATCAAGTGTACTTGTCTTTGGAGGAAAGGAGTGAAACCCCAACCTTTAGGAGAAAGGATCAGGTGAAACTTAGCTAACTTGCCGTCTTGTTGGAAAGAAGTTGCCATGCCATGTCACCTCAAATCTGTGAAGCAATAACTCATGGTTAAGGATGGCAATGGATAGGGTATGAGGCGGGTAGAGCAATACCATACCCATACCCGCGTAGTCAATGGGTATCAAATTTTACCCATACCCGTACCCATGGGTAAGAAACTTTACCCGTACCCATACCCGACGCGTACCATACCCATTGGGTACCCAATGGGTAGATCAAATAGTATACAAGTTCTTCATAATTTTACATTCATTGATACCACATTTGACAAAAAGAACATTTATCTCAACTCAATAGCAGATAGATGAGACAAGACAATTATCTCAATTTAAATTGACACTGGGTGACATCTTTAACATAGGTTCACAAGCTCACGACACACTTCACCAAATAACATGTAGTATAAACGGGTCAATTATGTGTATATCCATGGGTACATGGCTATACCCATGCCCTACCCATGACTTAATGGGTAGGATGCGGGTACTATCCATGGGTATAAAATTGTGCCCATACCCTACCCATGCGGGTACGATATCCGTGGGTACCCGTACCCATGGGTAAAATTTCCATCCTTACTCGTGGTGATGGTGGTCATGAAGAAACTACCTCTCTGACCTTGCGAGGGATGGCCACGCGCGACACGCGTTGGGAGGTTTCTTTCGCCGCCGATCTCCGATCTGAGCGTACTATCCCCTTCGATCCCGAAGTGCTGATTCTCCGGCAAGTTGCGCTCAAGCTGGTGCTCCTCAACGTCGATGGCGTGACGGTGGATGCACGCATGCTGTGCGAGGGCGAGGCGGTAGAGGAAGGCAGAGTCGTGCAGTTTCCTTGTCATTTGGCGAGAGTTGACCGCGGGATTTCGACGCCATGCAAGTCCGAGCCGCCATGCACGACCACGTCAGCACCAGCTAGTCGTATGACAGCTCGGCCATGGCGGCCACAACTTCTGGTTGGTGGGGGGATTCTGGGTCCTGGTCCGCCCCACTGCCATGAGGGCCCCATGGAGGATTTTCCACAGGTGAGCTGGATGGGGGAGGGGTTGGACTCTACCTTGGTCACTTCGCACTCCCACCCCATCCCGGGCGATTCTCACCTTGAACCACAGTTTGGCCACCTGTGGTGTAGGTCTAGGGTTTCAGACCCCATCCACGATTTCGACTCCTTTGGGTGGTGGTGGGGCAAGGTGGACGGCGACGAGTGGTCCTTTCCTCATGTTGCGGCAAGTCCCTCTCTCTCGTCTTGTTCGGCTGCGAGATCTAGCTCACCAGTGATGGGGGATCACAACGACCGGAAGTTTGGGGGGAGGGGTAGGGAGGCTGGCACGGGAACGAATCATGGTGGGCGTTACCAGGCTGACAGCCAGGGACGCAACCTGGTTTGGCACGGGAATGGTTCCAAGGTCGATGTGATCGCCGTCGGCACGCCACCTCTACATTTACCTACGGGATTAGTTTTAAACCTCAATAATTGTTATTTAGTGCCAGCTTTGAGCATGAACATTGTATCTGGATCTCGTTTAATACGAGATGGCTACTCATTTAAATCCGAGAATAATGGTTGTTCTATTTATATGAGAGATATGTTTTATGGTCATGCCCCACTGGTCAATGGTTTATTCTTAATGAATCTCGAATGTGATGTTACACATATTCATAGTGTGAATACCAAAAGATGTAAGATTGATAACGATAGTCCCACGTATCTGTGGCACTGCCGCCTTGGTCACATTGGTGTCAAACGCATGAAGAAGCTCCATATTGATGGACTTTTGGAGTCTCTTGATTTCGAATCATTTGACACGTGCGAACCATGCCTCATGGGCAAAATGACCAAGACTCCGTTCTCCGGAACAATGGAGCGAGCAACCAACTTATTGGAAATTATACATGTGTGCGGTCCAATGAGCGTTGAGGCTCGCGGTGGCTATCGTTATGTTCTCACCCTCACTGATGACTTGAGTAGATATGGGTATGTCTACTTAATGAAACACAAGTCCGAGACCTTTGAAAAATTCAAGGAATTTTAGAATGAGGTAGAGAATCAACGTGACAGAAAAATAAAGTTCTTACGATCAGATCGTGGGGGAGAATATTTAAGTCACGAGTTTGGTACGCACTTAAGGAAATGTGGAATTGTTTCACAACTCACGCCGCCTGGAACACCTCAGCGTAACGGTGTGTCCGAATGTCGTAATCGCACTCTATTGGATATGGTGCGGTCTATGATGTCTCTTACCTACTTACCGCTATCATTTTGGGGATACGCTTTAGAGACAGCCACATTCACTTTGAATAGGGCACCGTCTAAATCCATTGAGACGACACCGTATGAATTATGGTTTGGAAAGAAACCTAAGCTGTCGTTTCTAAAAGTTTGGGGATGCGATGCTTATGTCAAGAAACTTCAACCTGAAAAGCTCGAACCCAAGTCGGAAAAATGCGTCTTCATAGGATACCCTAAGGAAACCATTGGGTATACCTTCTACCTCAGATCCGAAGGCAAGATCTTTGTTGCCAAGAATGGGTCCTTTCTAGAGAAAGAGTTTCTCTCGAAAGAAGTAAGTGGGAGGAAAGTGGAACTTGATGAAGTACTACCTCTTGAACCGGTAAATAGCGCAGCTCAGGAAGATGTTCCTGTGGTGCCTGCACCGACTACAGAGGAAATTAATGATGATGATCAAGGTACTTTGGATCAAGTTACTAATGAACTTCGTAGGTCCACAAGGACAAGTTCCACACCAGAGTGGTATGGCAACCCTATCCTGGAAATCATGTTGTTAGACAACGGTGAACCTTCGAACTATGAAGAAGCGATGGCGGGCCCAGATTCCAACAAATGGCTTGAAGCCATGAAATCCGAGATAGGATCCATGTATGAAAAAAAAGTATGGACTTTGACAGACTTGCCCGATGATCGGCGAGCGATAGAAAATAAATGGATCTTTAAGAAGAAGACGGATGCGGATGGTAATGTTACCATCTATAAAGCTCGACTTGTCGCTAAGGGTTATCGGCAAGTTCAAGGGGTTGACTACGATGAGACTTTCTCTCCCGTAGCGAAGCTGAAGTCCGTCCGAATCATGTTAGCAATTGCCGCATACTATGATTATGAGATATGGCAAATGGACGTCAAAACGGCATTCCTTAACGGCTATCTTAAGGAAGAACTGTATATGATGCAGCCGGAAGGTTTGTCGATCCTAAGAATGCTAACAAGGTATGCAAGCTCCAACGATCCATTTATGGGCTGGTGCAAGCATCTCGGAGTTGGAACATTCGCTTTGATGAGATGATCAAAGCGTTTGGGTTTATGCATACTTATGGAGAAGCCTGCGTTTACAAGAAAGTGAGTGGGAGCTCTGTAGCATTTCTTCTATATGTGGATGACATACTTTTGATGGGAAATGATATAGAACTTTTGGACAGCATAAAGGCCTACTTGAATAAGTGTTTTTCAATGAAGGACCTTG